ATCCCACCCAGACCACATCCCATGATACCCCTGGACACCCCCCACCCCTCTGAGCCCGGCCCCCCACCTTGAGCGTGTTGTTCTCGTTCTTGAGGTGCTTCAGGGAGAGCTGCAGGGCGTCGATCTGCTGCAGCAGCAGCGGAGAGTCCTTCACCTGCACGGGGCCGGAGCCGCCTCCCGGCACCTGCCCGGCACCCACACCTGGAGGGGAGGGATGGACAGGCACCAACGTCACCCGGGGTGGTGGCACCGGGCACAGGGACAGGGCGGCTGCCAGGTGTGCCCTGGCACCGACAGAAACATTCCCAACACGTGGCACTTCCCTGGAGAGGTCCCCGGCACCCCTCACCCCCCCCTCAGCATTCCCAGTGCCCCTTCCCGAGGGTGGGGGCTGTGCCAGGCGCTCCAGGGACCCAGCTCTCCAGGTGGGAGTCACCCCACTCTGCCCCCACCACAGTCCCACGCTCATCCCTCCCTTCCCAGTCCCCCGGGAGGCACCAGCCAGCAGCTCCCAGGGTAGGCAGCATTTGAGCAGGACCTGGATCCTTCCCCTGTTCCCAAACCCAGGGATTTGGGCACCCGAGGACACCTTTCCCCCCCTCATGCACTGGGTGTGTCTGTACCTCGCTGCTGTTCCTCTGCAGCACAGGGAGAGACAAGAAAAAGCAGGATTAAAGCCCTGGATTGAGTGGGAAAGGAGCTGGGGCTGGAGCAGCTCACATTCCCCATGACTCTGTCGGGGGCTCATCCCATTCCCAGCTCTGGGAGCAACATATCAGCAGCTGGGAGTGGCCCCAGCAGGACAGAGCTCCTGGGCTGCTCCCACTCCTCTGGGAGTGAGAACGTGCCAGCAGTGTCCCGGGAGCCAGGGCTGGGAATGTGGGGACACGGGAGAGGCTGCGGAGGGACAGGGACTGCTGCATCCAGAGGATGTTGTATCCCAGGGCTGCTGCATCCAGAGGATGCTGTATTCCAGGGCTGCTGCATCCAGAGGATGCTGTATTCCAGGGCTGCTGCATCCAGAGGATGCTCCACCCTGCATGCAGAGGATGGTCATCCAGGTGTCACCCATCCCAGATCAGGGCCAAAGGCTCAGGCTGCAGACCCACCAGGTCCCTGCCACGCTGGGGCCACAGGCCAGGCTGCTCCATGGCCACCTGGTCATTCCTGAAGAACATCCCAGCTCTCCGTTCTGGAGGCCACACATTGTCCTGCAGCCCCCAGACACCAAACACCTGCTCCTGCTCCAGGTGGGTTTTGTAGACACTTTGAGCAGCAGAGCTCCAGCACCCCTCCCTGCCCAGGAGAGCCCCAGCAGGCACGGATCCCATGGGATCATCCTGCCAAAGGGACACCCCGGATGGCTCCAGGGATCATGCCATGCAGGGACACCCCGGGTGGCTCCATGGAGGTGCCCCCTGCCCTGCCTGCCCAGGGCAGCTGTGGGAGCACCATTCCCACACGGCCCCTGGCGCCTGTGCCAGGAGGATTCCCCGTTCCCGCTCCGGTCACGCACCGCCGGCGATGCCGGACACGATGGAGGCGACGCCCGAGGCCGGGCCCCCCCGGAGCCCCTCAATCGTCCGCTTGGACTGGTTGTTCAGCCGCTGCTTCAGCTCCACCTTCTCCGACTCCAGCTGGTCGATGTCGGCCTGCAGAGCGTCCATGGTCTCCTCAAACTCCCTGGGAAGGGCACACGGAGGGATGGCTGAGCCAGGGACGCCGCAGACCAGGACCCCCTGTGTCCTGTTCCTCCATGCCTTGTCCCCAGTCCCTCTCCAGCTCTCCTGGAGCCCCTTTAGGCCCTGCAAGGGGCTCTCAGCTCTCCCTGGAGCCTTCTCTTCTCCAGGGGAACCCCCCCAGCTCTCCCAGCCTGGCTCCAGAGCAGAGGGGCTCCAGCCCTGGCAGCAGCTCCGGGGCCTCCTCTGGACTCTCTCCAGCAGCTCCACATCCCCAGCCCCATCCCACACTCACTTCTCCTTCTTTTTGAGCAGTGTCTGGGTCTCATCCAGCTTCGTCTGGATCTTTTCCACACGATCATCTGCGTCCTTGGATGCGCTGTCCAGCTTCTTCTCCAGGAGGCTGAGCCGCACGTTGGCCTCGCTGAGCTCCTCGCCCTGGAGCAGCAGGGAGGGAATCAGGGAGCTCCGGGAGCTGGGGGAGCCCCAAAATCACCAGCACCCACAGCTGGAACCCAGGAACAGATCCCAGTCCAACCCTGAGCATCCCAACACATCATGGGGAGAGGCCAGGGCAGGATCTGGAAGGCAGTACCTCCCTGCCCACAGCAAGAACACCTCCAGGAGATCTGGCTAGGATTTGGGATCATCAGCTCCACAGGTAACAAGCCACCCTGAGCAGGGAGCTGACTCCCACAGCAGCCAGGGAGGTAGGGAGGGGTGAGGAACAGGCAGGGATGGGTGAGGAACAGGCAGCGATGGGTG